GAAAGCGGGGCGGGGGGGTGGTTCTGAGGCCGAAGGGATTTATGAGGTTAAAATGCGACGGACTGAAAGGCTTACGGGGTTAAGCAGCAGGTGATGGGTTTTAGGAGCTTGTCCTGGGGCGAGAGGGATGGGTTTAAGGGGAGTCTGTGGATGGGGAGGTATATGGTGAAAAGCAGTTTTGGGGTTTATGGAATGTAAAGGGTTAAGAGGGGAGCTGGGGGGTGTAAGGGCCGAGAGATGGACAGCTAAATGGATGCATTCGTGGGGTTTACGAGGTGGGAAGTTGTGAAGGCAGATAACGGAGAGTGGGTTGCGGGCAGTGGGACTCAGGTTGCAAGTAATGGAGGTGACTTGGTGCGGGAACCATCCGGAAAAAAAGGATGGTGGGGGAGCTGGGTGGAGGGATGGCGGTCCCCCGTTTTATTAAAGCAGCAAAGTTTTATTAGACACTTAACTATGTGTGGGACACCCAGCTGGGTGCTGACGTAGCCCTTGCTCTCAAGCTCATAGTTTGAGGAAGAGAAAGTGAGTAGCAAAAACGAAGTCCACCTTGTGAGAGGAAGTCTAAGAAAAGGGACGGCATCCTGTGCAAAGTCAGGTGTAGAGGACACAGCACTTTCAGAGAGCTCCAGGTGAGAAAGAGCTGGAAGAAAATGCAGCCAGAGACTGAAAGTCCTGGGTTCAGTTCGGAGAGAGGTTGGAACCAGATCGCACGCGGCCTACACGTCTCAGGAAGGAGTTTGGATTTTCTTTCAGTTGCGGTGGGAAAAATCACAGCGGGTTTAAGACCACCTGCCCTACTTCCCTCCACCCACCGCTTGTCAGCCAGTGAGGAGTGGTAGCATCTGCTTCACAAGGCAGCCCGTTGTGTTTGGGGCCTTCTCAAGTTATTAGAAAATAGGAAAGACTGAAGTCCTTTTGGAGGATGAGGCCTCGTTGAATGGGGCCTATTCTTTGGGGTGAAGGGTGGTCCCTGAGGATGGGGCCAGGGTCTGGTGGTATGGACTGTGTATACAGTCAGTAGAGCCGCGTAGTGAGGAGGGGTTATGCCAAAGTCAAGTGAACAGCAGCCACGGGAAGGAGGAGGCGAAGAAAAGGTGGATATGGCATGCGTTGTTCGTCAGACTTTGTCTCCTTTGCTTCTTGTGGATCGTCCACGCTCTGCAGGTTCATAGCCTCTATCTGGAAAGTTAAGAGTGTTCTCCCCCACCTCCCTATGTTCATTCTACTTTGGGGGGCATTGTGCTAGGTGCTGGCGAAACCAAGATGGCTAAGACCTTCTCTGCCCCATCAGAGCTCATTGAGAAGTAGGGTGTGTGGGAGACTAATTATAAATCGTTGTCGTAATGGGTGTGCACTGAATAGAGGTGATCCCCGACACCTGGAAAAAAAGAGCTGGGCCAGGAGAGGGTGCCCTTGTGTGATCCCCTGTCTGCTAGGCTAGTCTGAGGGCAGAGGCTTTGTCATATTTTCCTGTGTATTCCCAGGACTGTGCACAATGAGCATATAGTAAAGTTTGTGGCACTTAAGAGTCTGGAAAGCTCAGGAGGGGGAAATGGGCTCTTCACGCCCAAGGAACCACAGAGACAGTGCTTTGGGTGTTTGTGGAGCTCCCTGAGTTCCTTCTCTTCTAGGTAGGGAGCTGCTTAAGGAGTGAACTCTGCTCAGGTGTGGCCTTCCTCAAGCATCTGTCACCCTATCACAGCCCCATGGCTGCTGGTTTTTTTGGTTTTTTTTTTCTTATAGCAATCCAGACTTCCCCTAGATAGGCTTTAGAATGGCGTGCAATCAGCCGCCTCTTCCTTGCTATTCTTTCTTTTTTCCTTTTAAGTTTATTTATTTTGAGAGAGAGCGCAAGTGGGAGAGGGGCAGAGAGAGAGAGAGAGAGACAGAGAATCCCAAGCAGGCTCTGCACTCTCAGCACTCATGAAACTCAGCACTCATGAAACCATGAGGTCATGACCTGAACCCAAACCAAGAGTCTGACACTTAAACAACTGAGTGACCCAGGCACCCCTCTTCCTTGGTATCCCTTTTTTTTTTTTTTAATGCTTTTTAAATTTATAGATTTGTTTTTGAGAGAGAGAGAGACAGACGTGAGTCGGGGAGGAGCAGAGAAAGAGAGGGAGACACAGAATCTGAAGGAGGCTCCAGGCTCTGAGCGGTCAGCACAGAGCCGGACGCGGGGCTTGAAGCCATGAACTGGGAGATTATGACCTGAGCTGAAGTCAGATGCTTTACTGACTGAGCCACCCAGGCACCCCATTCCTTGTTAATCTTGAAGGCAGCTTTTTTTCTTTTAAGACTAGCAAATTGAATAGTGAGGCATTATACATGCAAGGCAACTTGATTGTTGCATAAGTGGTTCCTGGTTTCTTTTTGAGGTAAAAAGGCCCCTGGGGCTTTTCTTTTGAGACTTGGTAGCTTCTGATCTGCCCCCGTTTCTTTGGATGTAGCCTTTACCTGAACTCACCCAAGTCATTTAAAAGTCACTCAACTCCATACACAGTCTTCAGTCCGCAAGTGCAACGTTAGTTCTACTCTGGAGCAAACAACTTGGGTGGGTCTTTTCCTCATAGTAAACTCTGCAGCCTGGTAGATGACCAACTCAAGAGGGGAAACAGATCTTGTCTGTCCTGATCAGGCAACTGGGTGAGGCTTTTGCAAGTCTTTCTGACCCTGCCCTCTCTCAGTACCCCTGCTGACCCCTTCATAGGCCCTGGAGTCAGTTTAGCTCAACTGTCTAGCAAGAAAGAATTTTTCATCTCAGATGTGAGGCCCTTTCAAGCTATCTGGTCACCACAAATGTGTTTTGTTTTTGTTTTAATTTTTTTTTTTTAACATTTATTCATTTTTGAGACAGACCGAGTGTGAGCAAGGGAGGGGCAAAGAGAGAGGGAGACCCAGAATCCGAAGCAGGCTCCAGGCTCCGAGCTGTCAGCCCAGAGCCCGATGTGGGGCTCGAACCCACGAGCCGTGAGATCGTGACCTAAGCTGAAATCAGATGCTTAATCG